TTTTTTTTTTTTTTTTTTTTTTTAACAATTCTTTGTTAAAGGTAGAATTCACTTAAACCATTCATTTGAAACAGAAGTGTTGACTTAGGCACATTGTGCCACACTCTGTACATTATCACACTGGAAATGAGCACATGTATCATTTTGGGGGGGGCATCCTGAATCATTTTTGTATACATACTGTGATTTTTTGGTACAGGTAGAGGATTTTCATTTAGGAAGGGCAATTTTCCCATAGCAAACGGAGTCAGGGAGAAGCTGTGAGTCACAGGTTCGATCCTTACGGTAGACCTGAAATTCAGGTGACGGGCCCCTGTTCGCTTTCTCTTGAAATAGATCATTCGTTTGTATTCCGTGGACTTATGGGCAAAGCCATACTCGTTGTGTTTTGCAAAAGAAGCCCCCGGATTAAAGCCCGTGCGCGAGTCTAGTACAGTAGATGATGCTTCCAATCACAATAACTCACATTTGACAGATATTTTGCAGTTCGCTCTTTTAACCCTTACCTCCCTGTCCTGAGTGCTCTAAGAAAAAGCTTTCACATTTTCCACAGTCTGCCAGCTCCAACTGGCGCTCTTCCCTACCGGGAAGGTGAGGACCACAGGAGTGTGTCAGCTTTGCCACAGTTACTTTTGTCAATCACTTATCTTTTTCCTTTGTCGTTCTTGAGTTTCGCAGAGTAGACTTTGCAACTAGCAAATAAATTAGACCCAAGAACCGCAAAGTAAATCCAAAGCAGTGATTGTGTCCCATAAATAGTGAAAATGTTCTTTGTAACAAAAAATTTTTTTTTTTTTTAATTTTTTTGAAAACTGCTTTATATATTTGATATATTCTCTAACGTTGGTTTCCGTAAGTTCCAATGTGGAAGAGTTTGGTAACTTTAAGTCAGTTTTCCCAGATGTTCAGTGGCATACTTTCGAGTGCAATACCTCTTTTCAGAGATATATTTATTTAAAAACCTTCAGAGGGTAAGTTAGGGGAAGACATTAATGATAGGTTAAGGGAAGATATTAATTAATAGTGCTTTGCGTGGAATCGGCAGGCAGTGAATATTTGTCAAATGAGTGAATGAATAGAGAATGGATGTTGTTTTTAAATTTTGTTATTTGAATACAGTTGACATGATATCACTACATTAGTTTCAGGTGTACAACATCGTGATTGAGCTTCTCTATATGTTAGGCTGTGCTCACCGTAAGTGTACCTATCATCTGTCACCATATAATACTATTATCATATTTATTATTAACTGTATTTCCTATGCTGTGCCTTTTATTCCTGGGACTTCCTCATTCCATAACTAGAAGCTTGTATCTCTTAACACCTGTTTGCCCATTTTGCCCAGCTCCCCGCCTACTGCCTTCCTTTCTGGTGATGAGCAGTTTGTTTAATAGAGAACGGATTTTTTTTTTTTTTTTTTTTTTTTTTTTTTGGAGCATTTGACTACAAGCTTTTATGTATGCCATTCTATCTAAATTCTGGGACCTGCCCTTAGGGGTAGTGATTTTATATACATTTTACATGTGGGGAAACTGAGGTTTACGAAGTAAAACACACAGGGCTACCCAACTGAAGTGACGGGCCTGTGATTTGAACTCAGACAGTCAGTCATAATGAATCCCCTTCTGCTGTTATTTAGATGGAGTTAGACAATCTGTCAGGAGGAACAGGCTCAAGGCACAAAATAACTGGCATGGCTTTAGAAAACCGGCCATTGAAACAAAATGAAAGATGAAACAAATAGACTCCCTGATCTCTGTTACAGGTAGGAAGTTCATGGTTATTCACAGTTTCATGTGAGGATGTTTTGAGTTTAGAGGTGTAAAAAACTTAGAGTTTGCTGGCCCCACACTGAATCATGAAAAGGAAAAGAACTGCACAAGAAAGTGGGTGGAGGCATATTTTGAAGGAGTTAGGTCGCCAGTACTGCAGTTTAGTCAGGCCTGAGGGTAATTGAGGTGTTGAGGAAGTTGAGACTGAAGTTTCTAGTTGTGAATCTGCCACGACACTGAGGAAGACGAACCAAAATACGGTTAATGTACTCAACACCCTTACAGTAGGTTGGTTGTCTGTTAAGTAGATGCTTTTATCGATACGTATGGCCCGCTCTAGGACAGCGGCCCTGAGTATTTGGAGGCTGGCTTATGTGGCGTAGGTTAGGACTAAGTGCAAGTCATTCTGTGCAGTCCCATTGGGGTTGAGCAGTACATGTTGCCTGTAGGGTAAGTGGAATATCTTTGATAACCAGAGAGTGTTTTCACCCTCTGCGAGACTCAGTGACTCAGAGACGTCTCAGACTTGTTCTCGGGCTTTATTGGTCAGCACACTACCCAACTTAGCTGCTCCTCCTGAACCAAGATGCTTTGGTCGACAAAGAAGGCCTGCAAGATGGGAAGACAGAAGAATATTTCCACCAGAAATAACACAGACATGACACGTTGGATGAATTGAGATTCTGGCCCTTGGCTTTGGGCTTTGAGCGATCAGTTGGGCTTTC